CGGCTGCTTTGGCACAGAAAATGGTAGGGGAAGGAGCGGGGGGCTGTGGCACTGTCCCTTTCTAGTTGGCTTTGAGGAGGGGGCTGCTGCCCTAGCTGAAGCTAGGCTCATGCATAGCAGCTGGGAAGGAGCCAGAGAGAGGGGCAGAAAGCAGGAGAGGGCCAGGAGGGCTGGGCATGCTCATGCCTGGCATCAGGGCTGCCAGCCTGCCCAGAGCCCCTCTGCCAGGGATGGGGCCTTTTCCTGGAGCAGGTGGCATCACTAAGGGCTTCAGTGCCCATTCTGCCTCCTGCACCCCAGCCTGGGCAGCTCCTGGCAGCAGGATGGTGCTCTGGGAGCCAATGGCAGGAGCAGGAGCACCTCAAGCAGGCACTGGCATCACTCCCCAGGTTGCTCCTTCAGATGCTGCCCTGTGCTCTGACCCTTTAAGAGTGCTGGGCTTCAGGACAGTGCCAGTGCCACTGTGGTCTGGGAGCCCAAATCAGTCTGTGCTGGCAGAGGATGGGCTCTCTCTTACCACAGGCCCCAGTGGGGTACAAGCTCAGAAAAAGTGTTCAAGGTTTTGTTTTTAAGCTTATGTGGCTATGGGGGAGGAAGGAACAGGACTGGAGAGAGATGGGGTGGCTTGGGATGGGTAGCCAAGGCATGGGGGCTTTACTGTGCTGCTTGAAACCCCACAGAGCCCATGCCCTGGCAGCATCCATGTGGAGCCTGGCACTGTGCATTCTCTGAGCATCCCTCTGTGGCAGGTGACAGTCTCCAGTGCTCCATCCTAGGCACCTTTCAGGCCTCAGACACTCCCTGCACCCCTTTGTTGCCCGCATCCACCCTCACCAACATGTTGTTGCTTGGAGCCCAGTGCTGCTCCTCAAACCCTCCCGGGTGCATAGGCCATGAACCCCTCCAGTGGAAGGCCCAGAACAGAGTTTGGATTACTTTGCACAGGTGTGGCTTCATGTCCAGACCCTGTTGTGGACTGTCACGGTCACAGGTCACCAGTTATGCTCACTGGAGCCACTGCACACTCAGACAGGCATGGGCAGGGCAGGCAGCAGTGGCAGGGATGTGCTGGTGAGTGGTGGTGGCATGGGACCGTCCCTGGTGGGGTGGCTGATAGAGGCCGTCACGGCACAGATTCTGTCCCCATGTCCTGTGCTCCCCCTCCCCTGGGCTGCTGCCACTCTTCCCACACCTCTCGTTGTTGTATGAATTGTAGTTCTTTTAAAAGGAGATTTTATTAAACGACCATGTTTGAGACCCATGCGAGTGTGTGGTGTGGGGCCCGAGGTTTGGGGGGCTCCTCTTGACAGCGGGGTGGGACAAGGGGACAAGAAGGGAGGATGCTGTGGGTCCCCAAACCTTCCCCAGGGAACAGTGAGCAGCCATCCTGCTTCTGCAGCTGGAGGAGTGTTCAAAACCTTCCCAAGGGTTTTCCCAGGCACATAAAGAACCGGGGATAATTTTCTTGTATCTCAGTATTTGCCAGGTTTCTCCAGCGAAAGGTCGGATGGGAGCCCCCGCACCCAGCTCTGCAGCACCCACCACCCACCCCCCTCCGCCCCTTGCCCCCTGGGCCCTTAGCACCTCGGGGATGACAGATAAGGGCTATCAAGTCCCAGCATTGTGTGCAGCCCAGTTCCTTTGATCACGCCAGCCCCCCCATCAGGCTGATACCATCTCTCCAGGTTTCAGCAGCCCGAGGTGGGTGCTGACTCACCGCCAAAGCACCCACCCAGGAAGCTTCTCTTACGGGAGTCTCCAGCTGCACCCCCGGGCAATGCACACCCCAAATAACCCAAGATGCCCCCAGGGCTCAGTCCTGGGAAAACCCAGCCTGGAACCCTCTGGGCAGAGCACCCCAGAGCACCTGGGGACCACTCCGAGGTCCCCAGATTTGTCCGTCCTTTGCTCCCACAACGCAGCAATCTCTCTTGGAGCACATCCAGACATTTTGGAAAGCTCTAACTCATAGTAAAACTTGACTCTTCTGCTGGGAAGACCCCTTGCTCCAGCCATGCAGGAGGCCACAGGAGCCCTGTGTGCCCTGGGAATCCCTGTCCCTACCACACATCCAGGCATGGAAGAGTCATTTGTGCAGGGACAAGGGCCCCTGATGCAGACATCCAAGGCTTTCAGCCCCCACCTCACTTCCCCCAGCTGTAACACAAACAGGTGAGCCCACTGGTGTGTTCAGGCACTGTGGTGGTGTGGGTGAGACCCGCATTATAGCCCAGGGCCTTTGTAATAAGGGGACAGAACTGGACCAAAACACCCTCTGTGATTTCCCCCTGGGCTAGGTTTGGAAGCACTGACTCCATTCTGTCCTCCCAGGCCAGCTGCAGCCCAGCAAGCTGTGCTGACATGGAGCAGATCGGCATTCCTCCAGGCATGGGGTTTCTGGAGATGAACCCCCTGTCCAGCCCTCCTTAGAAGGTCCTGGAGTGGCCCCCTCACCATGGGACCCTGACCCACACGTGCAGGACTGCAGCACCCCTTCAGTGGGCAACCCAGGGGTATCCAGCACAGCCCCCCCTCCAATGGCCCTTCCATCACCTGCCACAGAAAAGGGTGGCCTGACCATGAATAAAACATCATCCGTGCTCATCCACTCTCTTAAAATCCCAAGCACCGGCGCCACACCAGCACACTCAGCAAAGGGAGGATGAGCAGATGTACATCTCAGCCCACTCCAGCCTGCTGCCATCTGAGCGAGCCAGTAAAGCAGACACATTTTTTTCTGCTCTCATTTTCTTAGCAGGATCCCACTGATCCCTGGCTGCCTTAGACAGGCAGGCTAAGCCTGGAACACTAGCAGGTTCCAGATATGGGCTGATGGAAGGATGCATGTATCCATCTCCTCTAGAGCAGGCAGAAGAGATATGGTCACTGGTGCTCAAAGACCCTACACAATAACCTCATACAGTCCCGTCCCCCCCCCAAAATCATTGAAATGTATGGGGGGGGCACACACCGAGAAACCCCACTGACACCTTCCACATCCCCCAGCTAAAACCATCACTGCCACAATGGGCTCCGTGCCTACAAAGGGGCCGGTTCAAAGTCAACGTCTCCCTTCCCCTCCGTCTGTATATGAAAGGACAAGGAATGCGTTTGAGGGCCGGGGCGGTGTGGGATGGAAGGAGAGGCAGAGGGGGGGAGGGAGGCCTGGGAGGCTTCCCGGGGGGATGGAGAGAAAAAGTAAGTTGGCAGGAGGAGGGGGTCCAGCCCGGGAACAATAAATCAAAGGGAAAGGGAGTTACTGCCTAGCCAAGGAGCTTCTGAAACCCTGGGCCGCAGCAGGAGCCCGGGAGGAGCAGGGCTGATGGCTGCCATCGGGGTCCCGCAGAGAGATTTCCTCTGCCCGCTGGCAGTGGGGCAGGCAGCAGCAGAGCAGCAGTGGGCAGGTGTGCCCGCACAGCGCTGGGTCCAGCATCCTCAGCAGCACGGCCCAGGTAGTCCCTGGGCAGATTGCATCCAGCCCCGGCTGGGGAAGGTGCTTCACCACTCTGGGCATGGGACCCCCGAGGTCCAGAAGCCACAGGGCTCACTCAGAGCTGCCCGTGTCCCCACTGGCAGGGTTTTTGAATCCTTAGTTCATTTTCCTGGGGCTGCCCTCCCTTCTGGAGCAGTCTGGCACAGCCAGGATGGGCAGCCTGGTACATGTCCTGACAGGCGTCAGAACAGACATTAATTCCAGCTCATCCACTGGGCCATTTTGTTCCTAAGAGGAATATCATCAGGAGGCTCAGCTGTTCCACTTCCCTGACATGCAGCAGTGCCATGCGCTGGGCCAGGGGCTGCTGCTGGCATTGTGGATACCAGTCCCTAGATGCCAGTGCCTGGATGCCAGCTGTGGGTGTGAGTCTCTGTCTGCCAGCCCTTGGGTGCCTGTCCCAGGGCATCACTCCCCGGGTGCCAGTTCCTGAGTTCCAGCCATCTCAGCAGCCAAAGCAAGTGCTTCATAAATATCATCAAGCACCTTCCCCGAGTTCCCCTGCCCACAGCCCCATTCCCACCCCGCCGCGGGGGAGGCTGCTCCAGCCTATCTCTTCACCATATCTCCAGTGCGAGACGGCAGCAGCTCCCGCTAATCCGGGTTAATAAACAGGCAGCAGTGTCGGCAGCAGGATCACTCCCTGCCTTGCTCTGGCTGGGATCACGGGGTGCTGGCAGCAAGAGCACTCCTCGCCCTGCTCCAGCTGAGGCCAGGGGTGCCCATGCTGTTGGTGCCTGCCCGTATGCAGGAACTGGCGTTGGGCAGAGGCCGATGTCATGGCAGTGTCAGGATCCGGAAGGTTCCTGGTATTCCTTCCCTGGCAGTGCACTCTGAGCTCTGAGGCCTCAGGGACAGACACACTCCTCCAAGCCACAACCCTTCTCTGCAGAGTGAGAAAGAGAGGAATGGTGAGACTGTAAGGGGCCTCCGGAGCCTCATCTCTGTCCATGCTCCCCAAGGAGCTAAGGCCCAGTCAAGAAGACCAGGCATTAAGAGGGGCAAGAGGTGATGGTCAAGCTCTAGACCACCCCTGCTGCTGCACGATGACACTGGCATCGCGGGGCTTGTCCTCTGTACTGGCGACAAGTGACTGCCACAAATGGATAGGCTGCCCTCACACCAGCCCCTGGCACCAGCCACCGACAGCTCCTCAAAGCCACCCCGTTTCTTGCCTAGACTCCCAGCGCTGGGAGTTCCCAGTGGGAAGACCCCGTGGCTGCTGCTGTCCCAACACTGGCGCGGTGCCCCCGAGCTGCGTGGGGCCGGGGGGGTGCGAGGGGCGTGGGTGTCCGGGACTGGAGGGGTGTGAGACCCCGCGGCAAGATCGGCGTTTTCTCCCTCCCTGTCCCATCGGGGCCGCCCCGGCCGCCTCCCCGCCGGCGCTGGGTGCGGGCCGGCGCTGCCCCCTCCCAATAGCACCTTGTGTCCGTGCCCCCCGCCCCCCTGGGGGATCAAGTTCACGCCCGACCCACCGATGCAGGGCCCAATGGGGCCGGGGCCTGTCTCCATCCGGTCCGGCCCGGCCCCGCCGCTCTCAGAGGCCCCAGCGGCGCCCCAGCAGGGAGGCAGCGGCCGGCAGCCCCCGCATGGAGCCCTAGGGCAGCGGGCGGCGGGCAGCATGTTCAGCCCGGACGGGGGGCTGCCGGCCGCCCCCTTTGGCCTTCTGACGGACGCCGGACCTCCCTTCCCCCGTGGCACCTTCGACGGGGCGCCCGCTCAGCCGCTCTTCTTCCCCTTCGCCGCCACCGCCGAGCCCGAGCCAGCCCGCGACCCGCCGCCGGCCCCGCCGCCCTGCCCGGGCCGCCCTTCCCTGGCCCGGCTGCCCCTGCCTTCCCTGGCCCCCAGCTCTGCCCCGCCGCGCTGCAGCCGGGCTCCGGCGGCCCGTCGGGGCTGGGCAGCAGCGGCAGCTCCAGCGGCGCCGCCAGCGAAGGCGGACACTCCAGCGACAGCGGTGAGGAGGTGAGACCCGACGGGACGGGGACGGGGCGGGCTGCCGTGCCCCGCTCCTGCCGTCTGCGCGCGGTGTGCCCCTGGGGCTTTCCTTCTCGTCTGGAGCCGCGGTTCACCGCCCCGTCGGCAGCAGCTGCCGTGTGCTCTCGCGCACCGCCGAGAGCCGCCGGTGGCACCTGTCGGGGCCCACCGTCGGGTGCCCCCGGCAGAAGCCCTGACCCAGCGCTGGGACTCGTCCCGCATGTGTCAGTCTCTCCGCAGGGGTAGAGCTTTGAGGAGGCTGCTTTGGGGTAAGATAGGGAGTTTTGGGGACTCGGGAGAGCAGCTTCCCGTACGCGATGTGGCGGGGCAGTCCCGGGTTGCGATGTCAAAGGTCGGCTCCGGCGTGGTACCGGTACCACAGCGCGATTACCGAGGGCTCCTGGCCACTCGGTAATCCCGTCAGTCCCCTTCGGTCGGCTGCATCCGCTCCCGCACCTCCACGGGCACTGAAGTTTGTTGGGGCAGAGATAGCCCGGAGATGAGAGCAGGAGGAAGACGGGGGCAGCAGGGCTGGTTCCCGGCACGACTAAATCTGTGGTTTGGGCTAGTTTTTAATATTTTTAATATTTTCAATGTTGACGTATCACGATCCCGCCGCGGGGAGGGCAGCGGCGGCCGATGCCGGGGGCTGGTCCCTGGCGCGGCTGGGGAGGATTGGCGCTGCCGCCGGCGGGTGGGAGCTGCGGGAGGTCCCACGCCCGATCGATACCTGTGTGTCCTCGGGCCGCAAGCGGCCGCTCCGGGTGGGAGGTGGTCAAGAATGGCATTTTCTATTGCGGACGGTGATCTGGGATGGCATCCCTCCTCATTGGGAGGGATGCTCTGAGTTTACCGGCGCCGATTATACATAGCCAGAAACTAATAGCCGTGGCTCGGTGACAGGAAAAACTCTTGAAAAACCCGAAACCCCGCTGAAAACGTGTAAATTGGGTAAAAGGCTTCAAAATGACCCCGTAGAGGCTGAAGGCTGCGCGGCAGGAAGGTGGGAAGCGCCTGGGTAGCTGCTTGCCAAAACAAGAGCCAGCTGGTAGCAAAGAGGCGCTTAAATTGCAGCGGCTCCGGGGCGCTTCTGTCCCTCTCCTCGCGGGAGTCTTTTCCCTGCTCGGGACGCAGGTGGGAGAGGCTGGTGAGAGGCTGCCTCAGCCCGAGAGCCGCGGGGAAGTGGCGCATGCCGCGGGAGAGCTGAGCGTCCCCGTGCGCACGTGTCGTGGGGTGAGTGAGAATGGGGCGAACCTGGGGCTTGGCCGAGGTGATCATTGCTGCTGCCTCTGGCCAGGCCAGCAGGGCGCGAGACAGAGGACAAAGGGAACCTTTCCAAGGCGTGTTGAGGCAGAGCAGGAGCTCTCGGTGCCCTTGTGCTACCCTTGGCACCGCCGCGCCAGATCGGGTCAAGCTGAGCAGTGTGCGTGGTCGGGGTGGGTCCTGTGTGACCCACCTAGTCCTGTCCCTAGTCGGTGTCAGTGCTCGAGGGCTCAGCCGAGCCGCCTTCTACCGCTGTCCTCCGGGGACCCCAACAGACCCTGGACCCGGGGCACGAGTTTTCCCTTCTCAGTGTCTTTCTGCCCTTGCCAGGACGCGCCAACCTCAGGAGAGCTGGAGCAGTTCGCCAAGGACCTCAAGCACAAGCGCATCATGCTGGGCTTCACCCAGGCTGACGTGGGGCTGGCGCTGGGCACCCTCTACGGTGAGGGGCGGGGGGGTGCGGGGGAGGGGAAAGGCCCTTGCGTTACCCCACAGCCGGTGGAAAGGGAGAGGCCCGCGAGGGATTTGAAATCACTTGGGATAACGACCCGCAAAGGAGGCATCAATCCCCACTCCTGGGCCGGGGCTCCTGGAGGGGTATCTCCAGATCTGCCGTGAGATAGGAGCTTCGAGCTCACGGGTTTAAAATAGCTACAGTTGCTTATTGAGACGTCTTTCAGGGGTTTAATTCCCTGTTGAAGGAACAGGGAGAATGCCTTTCCTAGTCACAGGAGCAGGGCAAGCTTGGGGGTGGTGATCCTGGGGAGCTGTGTGGTGTGTAATGCCCTGCCTGCCTTGGCCGTGCAGGGAAGATGTTCAGCCAGACAACCATCTGCCGCTTCGAAGCGCTCCAGCTCAGCTTCAAGAACATGTGCAAGCTAAAGCCGCTGCTGCAGCGCTGGCTCAATGAGGCGGAGAACACGGACAACATGCAAGAGGTGCAGGGCTGAGGGGGCTGGGAGCCGGGTACCTGCAAGCCCTGAGCCACAGATTCTCCTGCCTCTCCCACGTGCTTTCAGGGAGAGAAGAGGGGAACAGAAGGCATCTTGTGCCACAGCACCATCTTGCTGCATGGCTTGAGTTTGGCTTGAGGGCAAACCACTGGGTATCGCTTTCTGTCAGGCGGGGGAGGAAGCCCAATCCCCCTGCAGACATGCTGTGATTGTGACAAGCTCCCATTTTGAGTAGCCAGGTGCTGATGGAATCTCAGATAGACTGGTATTATGCAGCTTACTGCTCCCTGGGGAACCTGGGTGGGATGTGGAAAGATGTGTCCAGCTTCACTGCTGGCAGTGTTGGGACACTGGGAATGGCCCCAGTCACAGTGGAATGATGCTCAGTGGAGAGTCACAAGGACACAATCTGTGCCTCAAGCTCTGCAGCCAGCTACACGTGTTCCAAGCCTGGTGGAGACTCTTCCACCTGGTAACAAAACATGTTCCCTGTCTCATTCCCAGATGTGCAATGCAGAGCAAGTACTAGCCCAAGCCCGGAAGAGGAAACGCAGGACCAGTATCGAGACCAACGTGAAAGGGACACTGGAGAGCTTCTTCCGCAAGTGTGTGAAGCCCAGTCCCCAGGAGATCTCCCAGATCGCTGAGGACCTCAACCTGGATAAAGATGTATGTTGGGAGGGTGGGGAGGATGGGTGCCCTTACGATGCCAGCTCCTGGGCACCTGACAGTTTGATACTTTAGCTCAGAGCAAAAATGAAATGCACATGAAGAGATGCAAACAACTGCCCTTTAGCTGTGCCAGACAATTAGGATATGTATGGCTTATCAATGTGAAAAAGAAAAACCCACTTGGTTCCAGAAAAGACTTTGTTCACAGATTAAATATTTAAAAGTTAAGAGACAAAAACAGTTCCTAGACCCAACTACAGGCATCCGTTTTTGTGTATATGTGCATAAATATGTGAAAGTAATCAGATAAAAGTAATCCTTTGATACTAATTAATCTCTGAAGAAGCTGATTTTTGATCCCAAGAACCCACATGGACAGTTACAATGTTTTTTTTCTGAAGTGGAAATGCACCAGAAGAGACAAACCACAACCCGCTAACAATGCACAAGTTTGTGTGTTGGCTTTCTCTGGCTATGCTACCAGTCTTTAGGGAGGGAGGAGCCTTTCTTTTGATTTGTTACCTTCTTTCCTGTTTAACATTTGCCATTTTTGTCATCTCTCAACTCTGGAAGCAGTGAGAAAGTGCTCATGGCTGAAGTTTGTTTGAGCTGAGCCTAGCAAGGCGTTGTGACAGGGAGGGGGCTGCACTGGCAGTTTAAGGTGCTATGGAGATCTGCCACCAGCAGAAGGGTCTCCTTGTCACCCACATGGTGTGGCTGGGTCACCCCCTTACCCTTCTCTGTCTCCCTTCCCACAGGTGGTCCGGGTCTGGTTCTGCAACCGGCGTCAGAAAGGCAAACGGCTGCTGCTGCCCTACGGCAACGAGGCAGAGGGGATGATGTATGACATGAACCAGCCCCTGGTGCCCTCCACTCTGCCCATCCCAGTGACGTCCCAGGGCTACAGCCTGGCACCCTCCCCTCCTGTCTACATGCCGACCTTCCACAAAGCTGAGATGTTCCCTCAAGCGCTGCAGCCTGGGCTCTCCATGAGTAACAGCGGCCACTGAACCAGGGGCTGTGGGCTCACTGCAGGTGGGCTGGTGCTCTGAGGCAGCCCCCCTTGCCTTTGGCTCACACAGGCATAGCCCTGCTTCTGCTTGCTGGGCTGATGTGTGCGGCTTTTGGGGTGCGAGGGGCTGAGAGCCTGACCCAGGGATGGTGCCTGCTCTCTGCAGATGCTCCCAGCCCTTCCCTGTTATGTGAGCTCACTGGTCCCATCAGCGTTGGCCCCCCTCTGACCTCTCCTGGGGCCAGCTCCTCCTGCCCCACTGCACCCTCTGAAGCCACACGTGCCCAGGGCTCTTGAGCCCATGCCTGGCCCCAGCCGAGCTGCTCTCCTGCGAGACGCAGAAAAAAGTATTTTTTAGATTTTGGGAAGGGTGGGGGGAGGTGGTGGTTTTATTATTTTTTTTTAAGTTTTTGGTTGTAGTTTTTAAAAAGCAAAAAAATTTGTAGTGATCTAGTTTCCCAGGTGTCTCCTTCCGCCCTGTCATGTAGAGAAGGGCTGGGGTGCCATGCCCAGGGCCCATGGCTCTGGTGGCTCTGCTGGGGCAAGGGGAGAAGGTGAGCCCCCCACCACCCCTCACCCGGTGGCACAAGAGAGCTTCACTGCTCTGTGGGGCAGCTGATACTGCTTGTTTGGGATGGGGGGTCCTCCCGAGTGCTTTGTGCCCAACATCACCTCCAGGCCCCCCTGCTCTCCAGCTGCTGTCCCCCACCCCAGCTGCCCAGACACCACCTTTCCCTGGAGGGCCCAGCCCTGGGGACCTACTCCACCCTGTCCATGCTGCTAGCATCCCTCACCTTCCAGCCTTCTGTAGTTAATGATGATTTTTTTTTTTTAATTTTTTGTTTTTAATCACATTCCCTCTGTCAGTGAAATAAACCTCAGAGTTCTTCGAGGCCTTCCTCGCATCCCTGTTCCTGCAGCCCAGCAGCTGAGGGTTGGCTGCATGCAGGGGTGCAGCAGGGCTGGAGCAAGGCACCCTAAGAAGGTGGACATGTCCCCATCACCCCATCATGCCAGCAACATTCCTCTCTTGGCTGCCTGCAGCTTGGCCTCCCCCCACGACTGGTGGCAGCTTTGCCCTGGAGTGGTATCAGCTTGTCAGAGCTGTTGCCCCTCAAAGCGTAGGGGGTCATCTTCCACCCAGTTCAAGCTGCTGGTTTGCTGTAACTGCTTCTGGGAAGGTTGGAAGCAGTGTGAGCTTACTTGTAGGCTGCTCCAGCAGCTGCCAGGGACAGAGAAGAACTAAGAATGAGGTAGCAGGGTGGGCAGTGAAGAGGTCTGGAAAGCTGGGGCTGTCCTCATTGTAGTGTGGTGCTGACAGGGGAGGGATGAACGTTCCAATATGTTTGGTCCAGCTGAGGCAATCTCTGGGGTGATAACCCAGCCATGCAGGTCCATTGAGCACGGAGCTGAGCTGGTGGGAGCGGGGATGTCTGGGGGATGATCCTGCACTTTTCCCCACCACACTCTCAGTTGGCTTGCCCCCAGTCCATTCTCCCGAGGCCCCATCCCCAACCAAGCCTGTAGGGAAATTTTTGGAAAGCCCTGTTTTTTCAGCTTGTGGGTGATAGCTGGAGCTTTGCTCTTTAGGGCTGCCTGGAATAGGGGCAACAAAGGCAGCTGCTCACAGGGCACCTTGGGACCCTGCAAAGGGCTGGGCTGGGCTAGATTCCACCCTTATGGGGCAGGGTCCCTCTGCATCCCTGCTTATCCCCAGAGCCTCCTACTTGCCTGCCCACAGGGTAGGGGCACAGCTGTGCGTGGCATCCATTGGAAACTGCCCCCTGTTGCTGCTGCCCAGTGCTGCCTGGTGCTTGAGGGTGCAGAAAGCTGGCAGGGTTAGGAGCAGAAATATGAGACTGATGTCATCTCCCAAAGGTTTGCTTCTCTCCACATTTCCACTCTGGTTTTCTGCACGCAGCCATACAAGAGCTGCAGCCCACCATGGGACCCCTACATCCTGCTACCCTGGTACCCCCTGCCCATGAGTACCCAGCATCTGTCTGTGGGCACCCACAGCCCCTCCTGTTCCGCTTCTGGTTGACCCAGAAAACAGCGGAAATCGGAAGCCACAGAAGTCAGAAGAGCAGTGTGCCCATCCAGCTGCCACCTCACCCAGGCTCTGCCAGGGTAGGGATGTCCCCTCTGCTGACTCTCAGTCCTGGGCACCCAGCAGCTTGCAGGGTGTAGAGATGGGGTTTGGTGACTTCAGGGCCACAGGGAAGAAAACTGGAAAGGAAGCTTGTGACAAATAGAATTATTTATATCAAGGGAGTTGACGGCACTGAGTAGAGGGGCAAAGAGCAAGGCACAGATGGAGCAGTCATGTCTTACCCCTTGTCCTGTCCCACAGCCCTGACAGCACCACTGATCCCAGATGGGTACTTCCTCTTGGGATGCCCATGGTGCAGGGTGCCCTCTTGCCCTCTGTGCTGGGTGTGGAGGGTGCCCATGGTGCAGGATTTCCCCAGTGCAATGTGTGCATATGCAAGTTGCCTATGGGACTGGCTTTGCTTCTGGGTTGTGCAAGCCTCCAGAGGCTGTCAGGTCACTGGCTTCCTGTCACAGCAGGGAGGGAGTGGCAAACAGTGTCCCTCTGCCTGCCTGGCAGCACTGAGATTGCTCAGAGCATCCGCTGTCCTGTGGCTTCTTACTGGCACAGTAGCACCCATGGCTCAGGGGTGGGGGCAGGAAATGGGTGTTGCCAGGGAGAGGGGGAGCAGATGCTGTCCTTCCTCCCTGGCCATGGGGTAAGTGGACCCCCCTGGGCTGATGCCCACTCCTCCAGCCCAGCCACAAATGTCACCACAGGGTCTCTGCTGCCAGGACTTTGGCACTGAGCAGGTGCTGGGGGGAAATTGAGGATCACAGGGGAAGGTTGGGGAGCTCTGAGCCACCCACCACCCCCCTGCCCTGCCCACACTACAGATGCACAGCCTCAGATACACTGACATTTATTTCCAAAGCACCACCTGGTCCTGCCAGCACCCTGGCAATGTGTTCAGTGTTAGGTTGGGGTGATAAGTCCTGTTTCACAAAAAATGAAGTTATGGGGCGTTGCTTGAAGTTTCAGTGTGACAACAGCTGGGTTAGGAGAAGAGTGGGGACTCCTGTCCTTGCTTCACATCCTGTGTGCAGGTGGGTGCCTCATGCACCTCCCACACTGCCTGCATTCATCCCAAAGGTCCCAGCACACACTAGGAGTTGAACCAGCTCTGCAGGTCAGGATAGAGGCGGCCATGGGGCAGGCGGGGGTAGGCTGTGCAGATGGCACAGATCCGCTCCCTCCAGTCTGTGTAGAGTTTCACACTGAACTTCCTCTGCCAGCCAAAGAACTGCTGGTAGCGGCTGGAGTTCATGGTCTTCAGGAAGGTGGCCAGCTCCTCCAGGGAGCCAAAGTCGTTGACATGGATGAAGGAGTCTGCAGGAACAAACTGCTCATAGTTGGCCCTGGGTGGCCCCAGCACCACAGGCACGCTGCCAGCCAGCAGTGAGTTCCTCCAGAGTTTCTCTGTGATGTAGTCCCGGTGGATGGAGTTCTCAAAAGCCAGGTAGAACTTGGACTTTGATATTGTTGGCAAGAGGCATTCCTTGCAGAGGGGCTTGTTGTTTGCTTTCCCGTATATATTCACATGGAGGTACCTGGAGAGGTTTTTGTAGACTTCAGCTCTTTTCTGAGTCCTGTGGTAGTTGCTGATAACCCAGGACACCAAGTTGGTCTTTGCAGGGATGTTCACAGTGGCTGACTGGTTGGGCACAAGCTTGCCATAGGGCATGAAGATGTCCGAATCCTGTCTGTAGGTCATCACCCAGTTGAAGGTCTTGTTCCATGCTGCTAGAGCTCTAGTGTTGGAGGGGGACTCCAGGGAGACCCACACCCAGTTCTGCCCTGGCAGCCTCTCCTTGGGTAGTTTGTCCCGGCCAGGCTGGAGGCTGGAATGGGGGAACACCACCACATCGGCCTGGTGCAGGAGCTGCCGCTCTGTGGTGAGCTGGCAGCCTGTGATGCTGTACAGCTCATGGCACACATCTCTGCTGAGATTGGGGACCTGCTTGGAGGGCCATTCCCACACCAGGATCACTAATGGCTCCCTGTTTTTAGAGTCCTCTCCAGAGCCCTTGGAGGGGTTGAGGAATAACCTCAGGTTCCAGAGGGTGGTTACAAACACCCCAGCAGTGACCAAGGCTATCACACCAGGCCGTCCCCATGGTGACCGTCGCAGTGGCAATGCCCAGAGCATGCTGGTGGGTTGGCTGTCACCTCATCGGGTGACAGAGCTGACACCTGTGAGACAGGAGAGGCCACTGAGGACCATCAGCTTGGCTTAGCAGGGATGAGGGGTGATGGGGAGGCACTGTGGCCAGAGGGGCCAGAGAAAGGGCTTCTTCATGAAGCCTGGGCCTCAGCATCACCTCAGGACCCTCTACTTCCCTGTACCACAGAGTTCCCCATGCATGTGGTGTCGCCCCATGGTTGCCTTTGTTCATGATCCTGTAGTCCCTTGTGACCTTTGGGGGAGCACAAATGCTGCTGGGAAGTGCAGAGTTGATGGGAAGTAGCCACCTGTGCCCCTCTGCCCCACCTGGCTGGCCCCACTACAAACAATCCTTGCTTGCTCTGTGCCTCAGTTTCTCCACCTGACACACAACTACAATCTCAATCCTTCTTGCTTTGCCCAGATTAGGTCAAACCTGATATGCAGCCAGCCTTGCCACTGCTGTGCACCAAAGGACAAGAGGGAATGTCCCAGTCCCACCTGAGTAGCCCCATGGTGGCACCTTAGCTGCGAAATGGGGTGACTGACTGAAGTCCAAAACTCTGATGAGGGCCAAGTTTGGCAGTGTCCTGCCCAAGAAGTGCCCACTCACCAGCATTCTCCTGGGACAACGGCAAGGAAATTCCCAGGCTTGAGGCGTCCTCCCCAGTCCCTAAGGGCATCACGAGCCCCACCAGGCTGGGGCCCAAACATTAACATTTTATATTTGGATGTCACAGATGGCCAGTGCCCCACTGTGTGGGCACAGAGGGGAGGGAGGACTGGGAGAGGAAGGAGGACAGTGCAGCACTTGGGGCTGCCGCTGGTGGGGCTCAGCTTGCAGGCACATGGGCCCCCCAGCCATGGGAAGCTCACTCTGCCAGGGTGCCCATCTGCCTGCATCAGGCTTCTGTGGTTTAACCAGCAGCACTGCGGGGAGCAGAGCAGTGGTGGAGGTGGACAGGGAGAAGGTTGGCTGCACTGGGGACCAGCCACCAGCTTCAGCCCCCTCTGGAGAGCTGGTCCCACTGCAGGGCTCAGAGCATTCAGCACCACAGGTAGTTTCTCTTTTTGTGGAAACCTCTGGAAACATGTGGGCTGCCTGAGCCGTGCTGCCAGCTGGGGCTGGGCCAGTGCCTCCAGTACTGGGGTCTCCTGGAAAGCAGTGCCCTACTTTCCCACCCACTGCAGCACTGCAGCTTGGCTGCAAAAAATCCCTTTCCCAGCTTGGCCCACTCCATCTGTCCTGCTAAAATGCATGAGCTAAGTTTAAGCTCCAGACAAATCTGGCATGGGAAGCAGAAAGGGCTGGGAAAGCTTTGCTGGTTCCCCGTACTGCACATCAGCGCTGCAGGTCTCTGTCCCCAGCAGCAGGAATGTTGCTTCTGTTTTGGGGATGTTGCCCCCATTTTGGGGATGCTCTGAAAGGAAAACCCCTGCTCTAGCAGTGGCAGGGGCCATGCCATTTCTCAGCCCCTCTCCCCTTGGTGGTCAGTAATGTTGGATTAAGACTTACTGTGATGGAGGTGTGCAAGGTGCCAGACCAGTCTGCTCGGGTCCTGCTGGGCTGGGCTGGGGCACTCAAGGGCTTCCTCTTTTTTCCGTTTTGCCTTGCCCCAGCCCCACAGCAGGTCCTTCCTGCCCCACGTGTCAGCTGGCACACCCCGCTCCCAGCACTTCCCCTGCACTGTGCTGGGGGTGGGTACCCTGTGACTGGGTGGGTGCCCCATGGTTGGGTGGGTACCTTCTGGCCAAATGGGCACCCCATAGCGGGTTCATGGCCCAGAACAAGGTGGGTGCCCCATGGCTAGGTAGGTGCCCTCAGCCTTGACAAGGTGCCCTCAGCCTTGACAAGGTGCCACCCATCTACCACTGACAGCTTGGTTGCAAACAGGATATCAACTCCCACTGACTCATCCTGAAACTATCAACGAACAGCCCCAAAGTGCCACCGAGCTCTGGGCACTGTACTGTCGTGGATGTTTCCTGACAAAACAGGAAAACCTTACTGTTTCATGTTTCCGAGCCCTGGGCACTGTCCTCTCCGGGAAGCAGGCACATGTGAGCCTCAGCAGTGTGTACATGGAGAGCTGCCTTCTCTGCTCCTGCCCCAGTTCTGCCCTGCTCCCTGTCTGGCTCAGTTTTGTCCTTTGCTGGCATTGCTGTTCAGGACCCAAGTCTCCATGAAAGCCCTGGCAGGCAAAATGATATGGGGAAACTGAGGCAGAGGCAAGGAGAGGAGCATCGAGGTGTGCAGTCCCTGGAGCTGGCAAGGGTGTGCCATACACCTTGGCACACATGGAGCTGAGAACAGGGCTCCAAACTGCTCCCTGGGGGTTCTCAGGCTGCTCCAGTACCTCTGGAATCTGCACCCTCATTCCTGCTGGCTGCCAGCCTCTTGGGATCCCTGTTGGGCACAATGCCATGCCACCATGCCACAGTATAGCAGGGCTCTGTGGTTTCAGTGGCACCCCAGGAGCCCTCAAAGGCCAACTGCAGCCCCAAGGGAGGGTGTTCCTTCTTCTGCAGTCATGTCCATTTCCTGTTATCTTTTCTCCTTTTCTGCATTTCTTCCCTTGCATGATTGAGAGCCCAGATACTACAGTCTGTTCCCAGGGCACTATTCTGAGCCTTGCCTGCCCTAGCCTTGCTGTCTGTGGGCAGTAGTCCCTGTCTGGCTGGAGCATTCAGCATCATCCTGCGCTGAGATGAAGCTTGAGAACCTGGGGCCACATGGGCTGGGGCCATTCCCCTCCATGGAGGACAGCACTGGAGACAGCATTTCCATAGGGTATTCAGGATGGCTGGTAGAGCAGCAGGGAGCTTTTCCTTGGCACTTAATAGCTGTCATGTGCAAGTGCTGTCCCAGGACACCCTGTGTGCAGGGACAATGCCCTGGGAGGACTTGCAGCCAGTGGATCCAAAGACCCTGACCCTGTGGCCCAAGGGACATGGCTCTGAGCCAGGCAGGGAGCCAGGGCCAGTGCTGCCTGGGTGGGTTGGGCAGAGATCAAGGCCAGGGGCCAGGCCAGGAGACCATCAGGAATGCTGGACAGCACCAGCACAGAGCAGAGAGGTGTATGTGTGTGAGTACTGCCATCTGCAGATGACTTCATACAGACAGGAGCTTGGCCACCCCGCAGGGAAGTCCCCTGAGAGGTGCTCAGGGCTCCGTGTTCCCAAGTCTTCAGGACCCTTTGTCCTTGGAGGAGATAGGCCACAAGGTCTTTGGAGCTTCTACACCAGGGAGGGGTTGGGCCTTGGGCTTCAGGCCCTGGGTCCTTGGAGGATTTTTGCCACAGTGTCTCCAGGACTGTGCTGCCTCATGGTACACTGCTGGGTCTGTCCCTTGCTGGCTTCTCGGCGTTTCCATGGCCATGCCAAAGAGAAGAGCGGCTGTGAAGCTCCCCAAGACCCACCCAGGGGCAGCAGGAGGGAAGGTGCAGGAGACCCAGGTCAGGGCTTTGACCCACCCATGGGTGCCCCCACGGTGCCCCTCCAAGTTGGGACCCACTCTGCTGCAGGA